TTTCCTTACGAACCATTAATGCACTGTTCTTTTATGAAGAAAAAATAATTATGTTATTTAAATGACTTTTACAATACGTAGTTTTTGCGTCTGCATGGTTTTACATCGACAACTTTGCTCTCTATATTAAACACAGCAAGCTTTCACAGGACTGCATAGGCAGGAAACATCCGCCTGTAGGTGAACACGCAGTCCCACCACTAGATACTGTCTGCACTCGAAAAATATGTTGCAATCACCTGCTCAACAAGTTGAATTGTTTACATTTTTGAAACACTCCCAGAATTGTGAGTACAGTGGTACTCACTGTACTGCAAGTAGCTGTCATAACTCCTCTGCTTCATAGCGACATTGGAAAATACCAAAAGTATTGCCGGTCCCAGCCCTTATATTGAACATATGTGTATATATATATATATATATATATATATATATTAAAAAAAATCCTCTGGGGGGAGATTTTGACCCAGTTTGGGTGATTTCTATCATAACAATGATCTGTTCAGTTTTCTGGGATATTTGGTCGAAAAGCAGTTAGACCTCAGATCAACTTGAAAAGAACTTTTGTTCCCATGTAAATTTTACCAATGCTCATGAAGAATCGGCCGCCAGAGTTCCCACCAAGATTTTTTAATCAGCATTTTGTGGTAAAGTGAAACAATTTGTTTCCCTTTCCTTAATACCCTAGTTCTTTTTTTGGCGTGTAAAAAAATCATATTTAACATTTAACTACACAGACCGCTCCTGGAAGGCTCCCATAGAAACTGTTTGCGGTACCTGTTGGGTATCTGTCTCCAATGTTGAGTTTTAGCCAATGACAGCCGCAGTAGCACCTGAGACATTTCACATTCTTGATTTGTTTCATGGAGTAAACTGATAAATCTAACGCCTACAAAATCTGGTCAGGGAGATGGTGCCATGATCTTACCATCCACTAAGGCAAAATTCACGTCCTTTTGGTCATTTAAAAAAAAAAAATTAAGGGTTTTCCAGTTGAAACTGGCACAGTCATTTTTGTTTTGCTTTAGCTTTCCGCATCTGGTTGCATTTCATTGGCCTAAAACATTTCTGGCCAAACGCATCTGTAGGCTTCTGGTAAGATGTATTTCCTGAGTTTTTACAAATCTCTCGACAATTTATCTTGCTTGCAAGACAGGGAACTCCACCCCAGCCTTCAAAGGTTAGTCTCTCTGTCTGCTGGTTAGGCGTGAGAGCATGTGCTCTACTGCCAGCAAGCGCAGGAACTCATGGTTAGTCTGAGATTATGACAAAGTATGAAGCAGGGTGGGCGGGTGATCCATGTTTTCAAAGCATTGACTAAAGGTCTAGAAACAGGTTTCTTACATATGTGTGCAAAAGTAAGGAGGTAAATGTATTTTAAAACAGTTTCTGCAGCCTAATTTCAGCATAACTGTGATAACTTTCAGCATAATGGCACATTACTGAGCCCTTCTAAGGAACAAGTGGTTTCTGCAACACTCAAGAATAAAAAGATCATTCTTTTCATCAGCCCTTTTGAGATAAATGGAGGTTAAGCTCTCAGTTATAAAAAGTATGCCAAATTAGGCTTACTTTTAACAAGTGCAACAGCAGGGGAATTTGTGTTTTTGAACACATTTACCTGTTAACTGAACATACATGCAAGACATTCATCTGTTGGAGGACCTCAGATCAATGCAATGAATACATGCTATTTTCACAGTTAAAATTGTTTAGCTGTGCGTGTCTAGATTCAGTGTCTCGCCTACCATTATTCGAGGGGTGCGGCACAACAACACAGACAGCCCTCCCCACAGCCTTTATACTTACGCCGAGTCACATGATCTCATATGTAGTTGAACATATGCAGTCCCACCAGCATACAGAGAATCTTTGAAGGCAGAGGTGGAGTGGCCATAGGAAGGTTTAGAAGAATTCCCAAACAGCTTTTTGGATGAACCAAACTAGCCAGAGTACTGAACTAATTTTTCCTTTTGTAATTACAACCAAATTAGCCTACTCCTAAATCCCTAAAACCACCAAGGCTGCTCTAAACACCACCGAATAATTATTAGCTAAAAAGAAAACCAATATAATTTCAACAATGATATTCCCAACACAGCTGAGGTTCATTAGACTAATAACTGTTTGCAGAAAAATACTCAATACTGGAAAATAACATTCAAATGAAAGCACCTGGTTTAAGAAACTAAAGGAAAAATCTCCCTTGTGCTGTCGTTCACATAAGTCTAATAGAAACCAAATAAAGTCAATGGTCTGATTTAATAAAGATTCACCCTTAAACAGAGTATGGAGGCTGTTTATATAACACAAAGATCCTAAACAGAATATAGAGACACATTAACCAAAGACCTCTGACAGCCATAGGCACTAAGAAACAAATTAAATGTCTTCACATATAGGAAGTTAATAGAACATAATTAAAAGATCAACCAATCGAACTATGTTGGATCAGGGTGCAGAGTCTATGGCCCTGCCAAACTCCCGCCCTAACCCCTAAACTCTAGATCACAGCAGACTTCATAGTGCACTCAGTTAACTGACTTTTTTCTCCCCCTATGTCTTGTGACTCCGACTCAGAGCATGGTGCCTACGTCATCTTTGTTATTAACCTCCGCTAGAACAAATCCCATAATGCTTTCTGAGGTGCTCTTGCAAAGCACTCTGGGAAATATCTGCCTTTCTAGTGACCATCTGTGATGACTACTTTTCAATGTGCACTCTGGGAAATTTTGTCCAATATCTTTTCATTGACTCAAGGTTTGGACCATTTAAAATGGCGTAAGCACTAGGGGTGTGGGAAATAATCGTTTTGGCGATATATTGTGATATTCGGCTGCCCAATATAATATCGATCTTTCACTTCTTAATATCGATTTAAAAAAAAAAAATGGTTACATAAAACATTGATGGGAAAATGGGCTTCCTCTGCACCACCACTGTGGCAGAAAGCGCTGTGGAGCCCTTTAACTGTGCGTGCAGCACCAAATCTGTATTTGAGGAAGTCACAGTAGAAGAAAACCCCAAACAGCATGGAAAAAAATACCTAATCAATATTTTCTGATGAAGATATACAGCACTTGCCATTTTATCTCATCATTTGATTTTGATAGCTGGGGAAAATATGGCAATATAGTGATACTGCAATATCGTGATAATATCGTATCGTGACTCAAGTACCGTGACATGTATCGAATCACATAACACTCATGCCAATACTCACCTCTAGTAAGCACTATATAGCGTTTCTATAGTGATTAGGGAGAACGTTCGGACACAGTCTGAGATATATCTGCTTGACAGGTGACCATTGTTGCACACAAATTTTAAAGGTGCATTGTGGGAAATTTAAATCTTTTTGACTGCATGAGAAAAGTTTTTACTCTAAACATGCAGGCTTTGTAACAAAGATTTCCATAAACTAAAATTGGAATAAAAGGCAATCTGCAGGTAAAAAGGAGATATGAAACTTTGAAAACGCGCAACAGACTTTCCATGCCCTTAAATAACACACATAGCACATTTCTACACTTATTACAGGAAAACATTTAACAACATACTTTTCTTTTATAACAAAGTAATTGTTTATATGCTGGCTTGGACCACTCACTTTTACACCGTCAGCAGTTGGTACAAAATGCAGCTGCCCTTCTCCTTACTGGCACACGTAAACGTGACCACCTATCACCCTTTCCAGCCTCATTGCACTGGCTCCCGGTTGTTTAAAGAATCTATTTTAAAATTTTATTGTCAGTTTTTAAAGCTCTTAATGGTCGAGACCCCAGTATTTCACTGAGCTTCTCCAAATCCATGCCCCAGCCAGAACGCTGAGATCCTCTAATCAGTTGCTACTGATCATGCCCAATACCAGACTTAAAACCAAAGGTGATCGTGCCTTTATGGCAGCGGCATCGAGACTGTGGAATAACTTGCCTTGGCATATTCGATCGGCAGGCTCCTTTGAGGTTTTTAAATCCTCTCTAAAAGCACACTTCTTCTCCCTGGCTTTTTATCAAGTCTAAGTGGACATTTGGTAAAATTTTATTTTGAAAATGTATTTTAATTTGAAACATTTATCCTATTATATTTTATCTCCTTTCAATTTTTATTTTTGTATTGTTTTATGTATTTTAGCTTTCAGTTTTTATCTTATGCTCTGCAACTGTGATTCCTGTACAGCACATTGGTCAACACAGGTTGTTTGAAAAGTGCTTTATAAATAAAGTTTGAGTTGAGTTGAATAAGTATATTGTAACAAATAAGTATATTGCATAGAATGTCTCTGAATGAAAAAACGGCATAAGCTAAATTCAGTTTCAGTCTCAATTCAATCCTAAGCATTTCCTACAGGGGTGCAAAATTACAGACATCTTTTAAGTGCCCACTCTCAAAGTTAACTCTTACAGGTAAAAAGTAAATGCAATGAAACCCTGAACAATTATGATATTTAAGAAAAAGCAACTGCTATGAAAAAAAAAAGGCATCCGTCTTCTTTCTGTCCCCTTCACTGCTTTTAAAATGTTGATTCCTGCTGAAAAACCAAGAATGCATCTGGAAATTCTTGGACAATCTTCGAAATTTTAATCTTGTTGCTCAGATTTTAAAATTTTAATTTTAAAATCAGAGCAACAAGCTAGGCCCGTCCTGGACAGGCGGCCATGCTTCAGCTGCTTATTCTTTATTAAAGGTTTCATGAGAGAGAAACTCTGATTTTATAAAAACGCCTAATTATTCAATTTAACAGGGCGCTGACCATTCTGTTCACAGTTATTTTATTATCATCCAATTACATAAAACCTATAAAGGGTGAAAGCTGAGCAATGCCATGGAAAAGTGTCAAGTACTCAGTTTCTATTAGCCGGTTAGCTAGCAGTGCTGGTTAGTATCAAACAGGAAAAACTGCCTGGATGCTGGCAACACAATCAGTGTCGCACTTTATGCTTTCATGTTCAAGAAGCAAAACGGTGCACCGTGTTAGTTTGTAGGCAAATCATTCATACCTTTGCTTTTTCCAGTGGAGTGAATTTCAAGACGTGCACAAAAGGGTTTCTAAACGGAGGAGGTTGGTCCATCTTCTTTCCATCTCCTTCAGTCGCACAATGTCTGCTACTCGGCAACCTCATTCTTAAAAAACACCGTTAGCCGACGGGTAGTACTTTTAATGTCTTAAATGAAAACTACAGAAAATAAGAAGCTCCTCCAAGCAACACGCAGTCGCCCCCTTTAACTGTATTGACTGTGGCTAATTAGGTGGAGGCAGTGCCAGGCTATTAACGTTATCTTCCCTTCCTGGTCAGCATGGGGGGATAATGGTTAGCTGAAGGATTAACCGGGGATATCTGAAGCCACCAATATCTGTCTGGCTACGCAAGTCTCCTTTCTCTACAGCCTCTTTCCCAACCAGACCTGCCCGCTAGCTATCGTGCTAACGGAACCGCGATGGCTTTCCTGCTTGCACAGCGCATGCGCGGGACTATAGCGGCACTAAACAGGCACGACCAAGTGCTGCCTTCAAAACCACTTAAAATGTGGTAATTTGTAAAACTTCAGCTAAAAATTATATCGACGATAAGAAATTATGTTGAGCTAATTAGAATAACACACAACAATATTGACTAAATTTGGTTAAAAATCATATAAATAGGAATCAGAAGTATCATTAAATAAAAAAATAAAAAATAAAAAAAATAATAATAAATAAAAATAAAATAATAAAAATAAATAGAAAAAAAAAAAAAAAAAAAAGAAGTATCATTAAATAATATAACAATTACAATAGTGATTTTCTGTTCCTATTTTTTGCACGACTGATGTACACTCAAAAGTTGAAGTAGATTCGCTATGCGAATGCGATGTAACAAAATGTCACTGTAAAAAGTACAAAAAACCAGCCCAACAAGGTTTATGGCACAAAGTATGTGACTTCAGTTTCACACGCTCACAGCATGCAAACTATTGATAGTATGAATTAGTAACAAAAGGTACTTGTAGGCCATGTTCATTCAGAACATATTTTAGGTTCTTTAAAGTAGCCTACAATCTCTGGCCTTATATTGTTATAGACCTTTTGCCGAAATAACTGGGCTATTTTTTATTTTATTTTTTTGCAAATTTAATGCTAAAATAAATAAATAAAATAAAAATAAAAAGGGCATTTAAACTGGAGATTTTTTTTTTCTGGCAAACAATTGATGGTGAAAAATAAGAATAGTCTGTGAGATTAGATGAAAAGAGTATGATATAGAAACATGAGAGGCCTGCCACTGAAAGTCCAACAGCTGAAGAATTGAGTGAAGATGAGTCTACTGGAAACCTACAAATACAGACTAATACCAGCATTTTTACTCACATCAACCATTGGAACATAACCTTTCTGTTATCAGAACTCTGAGTTACCGGGCTGACAAGATTCAATCAATTACAGGAGTGAAGAAGACTATCTTGTTTAAAATAGAAACACCATCACTGAGCAAAGCGGATGGATTGCTGTTACAGCTTTACAGCATTTACAGTTCAGGTATGGAACTTATTCCAAAGAAATGACATTAGCACATCCCCATGTGCTTATAGGAGGAATGACCTCCATGCTGCTAAAATACATTGATGCTCCAATTGCATTTTGCTCTGGTGTGGACAGACAGAACTGACAAAGACTGCTGGACAGGTGTTGAAACTTCTTCAGAAAAAAAAAAAAAAACTGAGCAAAAGTTTGGTTGCCTTCCAGATTAACACTGTATTGTGGTTGCCATGACCCAGATGAGTGAAAATCAAAACAGACATAACTGAAGATATGGATAAGATGTTACAATAAGGGTTAAGGATTGGAAGATTTTACAGTCAAAGAGAAAGAAAGAAGACGATGCAGGGAAAGCTGATGACAGAGAACAGGAAGGCGTACAAGAATACAGCCTAACTGGACCGTCTAATATGTATTTTCTCTAGTATAAATATATTAGACGTCGTTCTCTTTGTGAGATTTTTTGCTGGCCAACAAAACAACACCTTAAGCTCTCCTAAATGTGACGACTGAAATCAGTCCCATATGGTTATTTCAGTTCTTTTTCTGAAATTTTCTTCTGTATTTATTTGTTTGATCATTTTTCTTAGCTATTTTGTACCTAAAGGTTACTTTTTGTTTCTTAGATTCAAAAAAAATTTTTTTTTTTCCCCCACCTTTGCCATCCCATGTAAAATCTTAAAAATCTGCTGGCGGAATAGAGCCTAACACTTCATCAAAACATAGAAGAAAGAAGGTTATGATAAATCACAGTTTAGCAGTTGATAGATGTATGAAATAACCTTAAACTAAAAAATAAAAATAAAAATTCAGAGACATGTCTACATCTAATCAGGCAATTATGGGTATAAAGATGTGATCCATGTGTCTCTGCAGCGTTAAACTAAATTTGAACAACTACAATAGGTAAGTTCAAAGGAAGGAAATATACAGAATTATGGTGTTCAAAATATCCCTGATAGTAGAATTATATTTAAATATTACAACATATATTATAAAGTATTTGCTGTGACTTTTCTCCTCCTTTATCACAGAGATGTGCTATTATATAGCAGTGTTGGCTGCTGATGGACTTCAGTGCTGTAAAAGTGATTTTATGCTGCCCTCTTGTGGCGAAAGCTTGATAATTGTCTTAGAAGTACGTACAAAACCCGTCATTAGGCGTTTTTATTGTAAAAAGCTTAAGGTGTGCAAATGCCTGTAGACTCACAGGGTATTGCTTTTTATGTTACAGTATTTCATAGTTAGATAAAATAAAATAAGAGGGCCTTAAATCTTCTCTATCACTGCTGTTTTGTTTCCACATGTGAAACATCTTGATCTTACACTGCTAAAGTATTACTTTAGTGTTTTCACATGATGTCATATTACAATTAAAAGATTTAATATGTTTTCCTGGGTTTCACATAATAAATTGACACTATTGTAAAACTATGAAAGAAAGAGCAAATGTGCTTTTCAAAAAGGTACAATAAAAAAGTACTACAATAATGGCAGTTTGAAATGCATTTATATATTATGTGGGATTATGGTTCTAAAACAGAAAAAAAAAAAACATCTGTAAAGCTCAAAGGTTGCAAATATTATAAAAAGAAATTGTGGTGAAATGTTTCGGAGGATAATATAAAATGCTAGTTTGTTGAAAATTTTAATATGGCTTCAACTTTGGTTTGAACAAACAATTATCAATTATCACTTCCAGGCATTCAAACACAATGTGGAAAAAATAGGATTTATATAGGAGTAAATATGTTTAGTTTAAAACATAAGCCTGATGTTCTGAAAAAGATATTTTCATTTCACTATCAGTGTCTTCTGATCATATAAGAATACAAAGGAAATTCTTTGGATTTTTTTTAATTACAAATCATCTTGCAAATGAAGGGTAATGCACTGTAAATTAAAAAAATGCAAAGTTTTTTTTTTTTTTTTAATTAGAAGTAGAGTTCTGAACTCCTTTGCTGTTAAGCTGAATGTTATTTGCACAGCAGTTTTGAACTTTCTTGCCTATTGAGAAAAAAGCATGTTTGTTCATGTATGTGCTCAGGCAGGAAAAATCAGGCAGCATGTTGTTTGCCAACATTTTATTTGTGACACTCGATCTCTCCTTGTTCTTTTGCGCAATCATGTTTCTGCTTATTCTTTTTCTAAGAATGTCAAGGACAGCCAGTCAAAGACACATCTGAGAAAGCATGCACACCCGTTTGTGGGCACAGACAAACAAAGAAGGACCACACAACTTTGTATTTTAATTCCGATATGCACAAATATGTAGCCAATGTGCCCTGTGGACTGACCGTATCAGGTCGTGACATTTGCATTTGACAGCAATGACATCAGACAGGGTTAATGCTGGAGAAAATGAAGAGATAGAGAGAGGGAAAAAAGGGAAAAGGTCCCCCTCCTCATTCCTTTCACACTCCTTTTGTGCTCCCCTTCCCTCCTTCAGTCCCATAGCTGAGGTGCTTAAATTAAAAAGGAAGAAATGCAATTTAAAGACATGGGGTAAACAATCACAAAACACTTGTTTCTAGAGGAGAGACAATTTCCTGGTGCCTTGTCCAATTTCTTATGGCCTGGAGGGCTGCCGCATGGGTTTAACACCTGGTTCTACACCACTGATTAAAATTGTAATGCTGCTGTTGAATCAATCCATATGACATTTTGGAAAATACACAACTATCGGGACATTTTATATATATATGTAGCATTTTTTTCCTGGTGTTTTCATTTGGAAATCAAAATGTGCAAGATGGTGACTTGCTCTCTGTGCCACTACTATGCCTTCCAACTATTTGAAGAGGTAAAATAAAGCTTAACCATCTCATAAAAACTGTAAATATGTCACAGTTATTGCATGTTGTGTTTACTCCTAAGCGAGAGGTTATGAAATGAAGATTAAAAATAATTCCAGCTCAAACAGGAAAACTCTAATGACTATATACAATTAGGCAATTAGAGGTATTACACTCTTGATCAATTTCTTCAGTCAAGGAGAAAAGTTGCAGGATTTTTTAATTTACTTCGCTGGAATGTTACCAGGTTGTACATCAAGCTCGAAAAAGTGAAAAATGTCAATAATGAGTGGCTCTACAGCTGCTGTTGATCACTTTAATTGTTGTTTAGGTGTTTGAGTGTTTCCAGTTGGCTGGTGGGAACATTGCTCCATGTGCTTTATAAAGGGCATCCACTGTCTGGAACTGAAGTACATTTCCTATTCATTCTATGTTTTCTTTGGTATTTGGACATAAATTAGCTCAAAATAAGTAGTATTTTATTATTACATTGAAGCGATCCCTTGTCAGGTGAGTGTTTTAAACCCCAACAATGTTCCTTTAAAAGACTATTTTGATACATATATGAACACCTTTATTCAAGCGTTTGTCCACTAAAACCTATCCACATAGCCAGCAACAGTTTGATAACCCTTTATGACCCAAAGAATCATGTTCTATTGAAGAAAAAACTTTTGCTATTAAGATGGAGCTTCTTTTGTTTCGTCATATAGAGAAACATCATATGGATAGGGTTTCAAGACTATACGACTCTACAGGTTAAATATTTAAATGATGTTATCTTCCATCTCTCAGTGCACCATTCATGATACTCCTTTTTATAAGTTCATACAGATAGTGGTATAGGTGGGGATATGGACATTAAGAAAAAAAATACTGTTTAAGTTCTTCTCTTGCAGATATTGTTTTAATGTTACTGAGCTGCAGCCAGTATCAAATTGCAGCTGTTTGAGCTGAGGACTGCTCTTCATTTGCAGACAGCCCAAAGGATCTTTTTAGAGTTGGAGAAATTATTTGGAGTGTCATACTTTGTGGTAACGTAACTGTTTCCATCAACACCAGGGGGTCATTTAATTGAAAATGCTTGTCATAAAACAGCATCTGAGCTGGATTTCTACTAAGATTTAGAGT